CTTAGCCACTTGAGCCGCAGACACTAAGCCTGGTTTTTTTGTCTTTTTTTTTTGAGACAGAGTCTCACTTTGTTGCCCTCAGTAGAGTGCCGTGGGGTCACAGCTCACAGCAACCTCCAGCTCCTGGGCTTAGGCGATTCTCTTGTTTCAGCCTCCTGAGTAGCTGGGACTACAGGTGCCCACCACAATGCCTGGCTATTTTTTGTTGTTGTTGTAGTTTGGCCAGGGCCAGGTTTGAACCCACCACCCTTGGTATATGGGATTGGCACACTACTCACTGAGCCATAGGCACCACCCCTGTTTTGTTTTTTTGAGACAATCTCACTTTGTCACTCTTGGTAGAGTGTCATGGGGTCATAGCTCATAGCAACCTCAAACTCCTGGGCTTAGGCGATTCTCTTGCCTCAGCCCCCAAGTAGCTAGGACAATAGGTCCCTGCCACAATGCCTGGCTATTTTTAGAGACGAAGTCTCACTCTAGCTCAGGCTGTTCTTGAACGCATGAGCTTAGGTGATCCACCTGTCCGGCCCTCCCAGAGTGCTAGCAAGCCACCACTCCAGGCCTTATAATGTACTTTTGGCTTGTCCCTATCTTCCTTTGAGTGCATTCTGTTAATATTTTTCAGATGAAATAAGATGTTTCAGGTCTATCTTATACTTTCCCTACTCTAAACCTGTAATAGCCATTTATCCAAGGAACTCTGATTCTTTTTAATGGGGAGTGGTACTAAAAACCAAGGTCTAGAGCACTAAACTCAGTATGCTCAGTGCTGTGAGAGTAGATTGCTTCTAGGCACTTATCTTTTGAGATGACATTATAGCCATTTTCTGTTTACTATAGATTATGTTAACATTTTGTTCTTTTTTTTTTTTTTTTTCCTTTTAGACAGAGTCTCACTCTGTTGCCCTGAGTAGAGTGCATGGTGTCTTAGCTCATAGCAACCTCTTCAAACTCCTGGGCTTGAGCGATCCTCTTGCCTTAGCCTCCTGAGTAGCTGGGATTACAGGCTTGTGCCGTTATGCCTAGCTGTTTTTTCTGGTTTTAGAGGTGGGGTCTTGCTGTTGCTTAGTCTGGTCTTAAAATACTGAGTTTAAGCAATCCACTCGCCTTGGCCTCCCAGAGTGCTAGTATTATAGGTGTAAACCACCATGCCTGGCCTAAAGTATCATTCTTAATTCCTTCTGTATTTTCCCCCTATAAATTAGTATCCTGAAGTATTCTTAAGTGTTAGAAGGAATAGTCGTATTTAGGTGTAGAGTGTAATTTTTATATATAATAGATAATTTGTATTCATTAACTCTAATCTTGTCTGTCTTCACTGTTTTCACAGTATCTTTTATTATGAAAATTGTTGGCTCGGTGCCTGTGGTTCAAGTGGCTAAGGTGCCAGCCACATACACCTAAGTTGGCAGGTTTGAATCTGGCCCGGGTCCACCAAACAACAATGATGGCTGCAACCAAAAAAAAATAGCCAGGCATTGTGGCGAGCACCTGTGGTCCCAGTTGCTTGGGAGGCAGAGGCAGGAGACTTGCTGGAGTCCAGGAGTTGGAGGTTGCTGTAAGGTATAATGCCACAGCACTCTATTCGGGGGGATAGCTTGAGGCTCTTGTCTCAAAAAAAAAAAAAAGAAAAATTTTTTTTCTTCTTCTTTTTTTTTTTAGACAGAATCTCACTCTGTGCCCTAGATAGAGTGCTGTGGCATCATAGCTCACAACAACCTCAAAGTCTTGGGCTCAAGTGATTCTCTTGCCTCAGCCTCCCAAGTAGCTGGGACTGCAGGGACCCACCACCATGGCTGACTAGTTTTTCTATTTTTAGTAGAGATGGGATCATGTTTTTTATTTTTGCTTTCAATTCCATCTGGCTTTCACTTTATCTTAGTTTGAAGTTTTGTTTTTATATAAATATATATTTTTTCTTTCTTTCTTCCTTTAGTGATTCTCTTACCCTTTGCGTCCCATGTAGCTGGGATTACAGGCGCTTGCCACAACATTGACTTTTTTTTTTTTTTTTTGTAGAGATGGGTCTCACTCTGGCTCACTCCAGCTCATGCTGGTTTTCTGCTGGTCTCAAACTCAGCTGAGCTCAGGCAATCCACCCGCCTCAGCCTCCCACATTGTTGGGACAAGTGTGAGCCACCACGCCAGGCCCAGAGTCTTGTTTTTACTCAGGCTGATCTTGAACTCTTGAGATTAGGCATGAGCTGCTGTGTATGGCCTGAAAATTGTGTTTTTCAAAACTTTTTTTTTTTTTTTTTTTTTTGAGACAGAGTGTATTGCCCCAGTCTAGAGTGCCATGGTGTCAGCCTACCTCATAGCAACCTCAAACTCCTGGGTTCAGGCAATCATCCTACCTCAGCCTCCCAAGTAGCTGGGATTATAGGCATGGGACTATAGGCAACTGCTATGATGCTTAGCTAATTTTTTATATTTTTAGTAGAGACAGCATCTTACTCTTACTCAGTTTGGTCTTGAACTCCTGAACTCAAGGGATTCTCCCACCTCCTATAGTGCTAAGATTATAGGCATGAGCCACCTCACCTGGCCTAAACAGTTTTTTTATTTTGTTTTTTTGTTTTTTTTGAGACAGAGTCTCAAGCTGTCACCTTGGATAGCGTGCTGTGGCGTCATAGCTCACAGTAACCTCCAACTCTTGGCTCAAGCAATCTTCTTGCCTTAGTTTTTCTATTTTTAGAAGAGATGGGGTCTTGCTATTGTTCAGGCTGGTCTTGAACTTGTGAGCTAAAGCAGTCTACCTGCCTGGACCTCCCAGAGTGCTAGGCTTACAGGCATAAACAGTTTTTTTAAAGAGTAAGTCATGTCATCTACCAACTACTGATTGTCTGTTTAATATAGGTTCAATTATGTTACTCTGTGCCTGGCATAATATGTGTAACAGAAGAAGAAGAATTTGTTATCAGGTCAGACTAGAGGACGATAGAAATGTTTACTGGTGTTTTGCTTATTCTATCTGTTTTTGGCAACTATTTCAACTGCTTGCGTGTTTGTAATTTGCTTTATATATATTTGACTATCATTGTACTAATTTATAGTATTCCTCATAGAATCATAAAATTACAGCTAAAAGGACCCTTAGATTGTCATATTCAGTTCCTTAATTTTGTAGATAGAGAAATATATCTAAGAGTTCAAGTGACTTACCTATGTCCACGGCTAATTGATTGCAGAGCCAAGATTCGAGCCCAGGTCTCCTGACTTCTATGCTAGAACATTTTTGCTGTGGGTGATGAAGTGAGCTTGGGTTGTTGGTACCTGCTAGAAGGCTACCAGTAGTTTTCCTTCTATCTTGACACTCAAGCATTCAGATGAGCATTGAGGTTTTCAAATGATTGGTCATCTGATGTACCATGCAGGGAACAGAAAAGAAGACGGTGTGGATGACAGTTGTCTGAAAATACAACTTAAGGCCAGATTTCCAAGCAGATGGTTTCAAAGCTGTTTCTGCCTTATAATCTCATCTATTGGCTTTCTGCTCTCCCTTCAAAATGCCCTGTTTATAAGTGAAGTTTGTTGCTTTTCTTTTTTTTAATATCAGTTTAGCAGAGTTTTAACATCAAAATAGCTATATTGGCCCAAGTTTCTTAAAATGTTAAACATAAATATATGTCGTATGATCGATTCCTAGGTGTCTACCAAAGAGAAGTGAAAACATATGTCCAAAGACTTGTATATGAAATATTCATAGCAGCATTGTTTAAGATAGCCAAAAAGTAGAAGCAGTCCAAATGTTCAGTGGTGAATGGATGAACAAAATGTAGTTATCTGTATGATAGACTCAGTGATTGGAAGGAATGAAGTACTGGTATATGTTACAACAGGTGTGAACTTCACAAACGTGCTAAGTGAAAGAATCCAGACACACAAGACTACTGATTTCAGTTATATGAAATGTCCACAAAAATGCAAATCAATACAGACAGAAAGCTAAGGCTACGGTTGGAAATGAGGAATGACTTGCAGCTGGGCATGTGGTCTCTTTTTGAGGGTAATGAGAATGTTCTAAAATTGAGTTGTGGTGATGGTTGCACAACTCTGTTAATATACTAAAAACTATTTTATACTTACCAAGTAGATTTTATAATATGTAAATTATACTTCATAAAACTTAAAAAGTTACATTTTATAAACTTCATGTCTGTAATATTTGTTATATTTGAGTATTTTATCCTATTTTCATTATTAAACATTTTACTATCCACTTTTAAATATGATTTTCAAAGAATGCCAATGTCAAATGACATCATTAAGAACAGTAAAAAATGGCTTGGCGCCTGTGGCTCAAGCGGCTAAGGCGCCAGCCACATACACCTAAGGTGGCGGGTTTGAATCCCCAGCCCTGGCCCACCAAACAACAATGATGGCTGCAACCAAAAAATGGCCAGGCGTTGTGGCGGGCACCTGTGGTCCCAGCTACTTGGGAGGCTGGGGCAGGAGACTCGCTTGAGCCCAGGAGTTGGAGGTTGCTGTGAGCGTGATGCCATGGTACTCTACCCAGGGGGATAGCTTGAGGTTCTGTCTCAAAAAAAAAAAGCACAGTAAAAAATGGCCAGCATTTATAAAATAGTTCCATTTTTCCAGCATTTATACAACCACACATATGCTAAGTAGTTTTCACACGTTATCTACAGCAGTGTTGTTCGCTCATTTTACGGCCAGGAAACAGTGTCATAGAGGTAAATAACTTGTGCAAGGTGTTACAGCTAAGGGGACAGATCAGGAATTTGAACAGAGGTCTGTTATTCTATATGTTCCATGTCTGGCTATGTAGTGTTTTGGGTAGAGAATCGTTTTGCCTTTCATATGCTGTGACTGTGTTTGTTAAATACCTACGTTTATGCCACGTATGCTGAGTGCTCTGCATAAACTATGTGTGATCTTTCTAGGAAATTCAAAAGGGCGTTTGGTATTGCCTGGTTGCCACAGAGTTTATGTAGCAGACCGAATCTTATTAATCAGTTTTACTTTTTCTCATCCCCTAGTCTTAATTTTAAAGACCCTGAAGCAGTCAGAGCTCTGACTTGTACTCTCCTGAGGGAAGATTTTGGACTTTCTATTGATATTCCATTGGAGAGACTAATTCCCACAGTTCCCTTGAGACTCAACTATATTCACTGGGTGGAAGATCTGATTGGTCACCAGGACTCTGACAAAAGTACTGTGCGAAGAGGAATTGACATAGGTATATAGTTTTAAATTCTTTTTTGGTTAAACATAAATGTTGTGAGTTTTGCAAGGTCAAATTCTTTATAAACTTTTCTGCTGGGTGCATGTTATTGTGTGAAAGAAGTTGGGTACAGATGCAGGTTGAGGATCCTTAATCTGAAAATCTGAAATCCAAAATGCTGCAAAATCTGTAGGTTCAGTGGAATTTTTTGGATTTCAAAATTTTAGGTTAGGCTTAGCACCCATAGCACACTAGTTATGGCAACAGCCACATACACTGAGGCTGGCGGGTTCAAACTTGGCCCAGGCCAGCTAAAACAATAATGACACCTGCAACAACAACAACAAAATAGCTGGGTGTAGTGGCAGGCGCCTGTAGTCCCAACTACTTGGGAGGCTGAGGCAAGAGAATCGCTTGAGCCCAAGAGTTTATGGTTGCTGTGAGCTGTGATGCCACGGCACTCTACTGAGGGTGACAAAGTAAGACTTTGTCTCAAAAAAAATTTTTTTTTCAGATTAGGGGTGTGGAAAAGTATAATGCAAAAAAATACAAAATCCCAAACACTTCTGATCCCAGGTAAGCATTTTGGGTAAGAGATCCTCAACTTGTATTACCATTCTTATTTGCTATGCCAGGGATTTTCTGCCATTGTATTCTCTTGAGAAAGGGTTGTCAGGTCAAATAGGGAGCAAGAGGGTAAAAAAAATGAAATGAAGGTGAGGCTCTTGTTTACTTAGCTGTTCAGACACTTTGATGTCTGTGTCTGTTGGGCATTATTTTTATTCTCAATTTGATGTTAGTATAGTATTCGTCTTATAAGGATTTCTTTTTTTCTTCAGACAGTGTCTTGCTCTGTTACCTCGGCAAGAGTATAGTGGCATCATCATAGCTCACTGCAATCTCAAACTCCTTTGCTTAAATGATCCTTTTCCTCAGCCTTGCTAGTAGCTGAGACTACCTGTGTGTACCATCATACCCGACTAATTTTTCTACTTTTTTGTAGAGACAGGATATTGCTCTTGATCAGGCTGGTCTCAAACTCCTGACATCAAGCAGTTTTTCTGCCTCTGCCTCCCAAAGAGCTAGAATTACAGGTGTGACCTCTCATTGGGATTTTGAGGTAGATGGCCATTTGATAACAGATCATGTGGGCCTGTATACTTTTGGGACTCTCTTAGATGATTATTTGTAGAGGGTTGATACAACATTAAAGGCAGGGAAAAGTCTTTGAGTTAAAGTAAGATGTTCTCTTAATTTTAAACTTTTGCAGTAGGAGAGCCTGTCCAGTTTGGTTTATTTGGTTAAATAGAAATACAGACAGGGATGAAGCCAGGAATATGTTTAAATTATAAATGTATGTTTATTATAGGCAATTTTAATTTAATAGAGTTTAAAACTTTTTTGTTTGTTTGTTTGAGGCAGAGTCTCACTATGATGCCCTCAGTAGAGTGCAGTGGCATCACAGCTCACAGCAACCTTAAATTCTTGGGCTCAAGAGATTCTCTTGCCTCAGCCTCCCAAGTAGCTGGGACTGTAGGCGCCCGCCATAGCGCCCAGCTATTTTTTGAGGCAGTTGTCATTGTTGTTTAGCTGGCCCGACCAGGTTTGAACCTGCTACTTTGGTATATGTGGCTGATGCTGTAATCACTGTGCTATGGGTGCCAAGCCTTAAACGTTTTTTAAGGCTGGATGTGGTGGCTCGCACCTGTTATCCTAGCACTCTGTGAAGTGGAGGCAGGAGGATCACTTGAGCTCAGGAGTTGGAGATAAGCCTGAGCAAGAGAGAGACCCTTTCTCTACTAAAAATACAAAAATTAGCCAGGCATTCTCATATCTGTAGTCCCAGCTATTCGGAAGGCTGAGGCAGGAGGATTGCTTACGCAGTTTGAGTTTGCTGTGAGCTAGGCTGAGGCCATGGCACTCCAGCCCAGGCTACAGAGTACTCTGTCTAAACAAAAAAACAAACTTTACTTTTTTTTATTATTTTTTTTTAGAGATAGTCTCACTTTGTCACCCTTCGTAGAGTACTGTGGCATCACAGCTCACAGCAACCTCCAGCTCTTGAGTTTAAGCAATTCTCTTGCCTTAGCCTCCCAAGTAGTTGGGACTACAGGTGCCCGCTGCAACATCCAGCTATTTTTGTTGTTGTTGTTGCAGTTTGGGGTCAGGTTCGAACCCGTCACCCTCGGTATATGGGGCTGGTGCCCTACTTATTGAACCACAGGCACCACCCCCCAAAACAAACTTTTTAAAACTTTTTTTAGGATTTTGGTTTTTACTGGTCTTTTTTTTTTTTTTTTTGAGACAGAGCCTCAAGCTGTCACCTTGGATAGAGTGCTGTGACATCATACCTCACAGCAACCTCCAACTCCTGGGCTCAAGCGATTCTCCTGCCTCCGCCTCCCAAGTAGCTGGGACTACAGGCGCCTGCCACAACGCCCAGCTATTTTTTGGTTGCAGCCATCATTGTTGTTTGGTGGGCCTGGGCTGGATTCGAACCCACCAGCTCAGGTGTATGGGCTGGCGCCTTAGCTGCTTGAGCCACAGGCACCGAGCCACTTGTACTCATCTTATAGAAAAGATTGAAGTAATAGCTTTGTGACTCTGTTTCTAAATATAATATAGTTAATAGCAATCACAATTTCTAGATAGTAATAAATATTTAACTTTGAAATTTGCATACATTTTCCATGAACTTTTTCAGTTTTCATCTTATAGGATCTTTTAGCAGCATTTATTGACCCCCACTTTTCTCTTTTGTGAATTCTCTTTTCCTATTTTGATTTCTCTACACTATTCTCTTTTCAGGCTTACTTCTGTCTCTGACCATTAGATAATGGATATTCTTTATCCATAGGTTCAGTCTTCAGCCACTTCTTATTCAGCACTCTACCCTAGGAAATTTCAGTCACTTCTGAAAATGCATGCAAGTCAAAGTTAAACATTTATTATTATCTAGAAATTGTGATTGTGATTTTTTTGTTGTAGCCGTCGTTGTTTAGCAGGCCCGGGCTGGGTTCGAATCCACCAGCCCTGGTGTATGTGCCCTGCTCTCTAACCACTGAGCTACAGGCGCTCAGGCTTTTTTTTTTTTTGAGACAGAGTTTCATTCTGTTGCCCCAGGCTAGAGTGCTGTGGTGTCAGCCTAGCTCACCTCCCAGCAACCTCATAGTCCTAGACTCAAGCAAGTCACCTTCCTCAGCCTCCAGAGTAGCTGGGACTATAGGCACCTGCCACAATGCCTGTCTGATTTTTCTGTTTTTAGTAGAGGTGGGCTCATGCTCATGCTCTTGCTCTTGCTCAGGCTGGTGTTGAACTCTTTTTTCTTTTCTTTTCTTTTTTTGGTCTTAGACTCTTGAGCTCAGGCAGTTTTCCCCTCTCTATCTCCCAGAATACTAAGATTACAGGTATGAGCCTGCACGTGGCCCTGTCATATTCTTTCTTCCTAATATTGGTTCTCTTCCTTAGTTACTTTTTTTTTTTTAACCCAGATTGATAGAAGGGTACAAATGACGAGGTCACATTGTTTGTGTTTGTTAGGTAAAGTCCACTTTGTAGTTGAGCCCTTACCCAGGAAGTATGCCCTATACCCCTACGTTGTGTTCTTTACGTGATAACTCACCAATCCCTCTGCCGCCTCTTTTCTCTCCCCTCCTTCCTTTATTTCTCATTTCAGTGAATCTACAACCTCCACCCTATCATCCTTGACGCTTCTCTGTATTCTCGCTGAGAATTTCTGTCACTGTTTTCTATTGATTTTCTAAAAGGCAAGTCTTTTGGTCTTGAGAATTGAGACTTGCCTTTTCTCTCTTTAAGCTTTCTTGAATCATCTGCTTCTTTCCATCTCCACTGCTACTGTTCAGTCCAAGTCACCACTGTCTCTCACGCTGTTTATATTATAAATCCTCAGGTAATCTGCTTAAGAAGCTTAACAGTCAGCCAGGTGTGGTGGCTCGCACCTGTAATCCTAGTACTTTGGGAGGCTGAGGTGGGAGGAGTGCTTGATTGGAGGAGTTTGAAACTAGCTTGAGCAACATAGTAATACCTCGTCTCTAGAAAAAAATAGAAAAATTAGCGAGGCATGGCACTATGCTCCTATAGTTCCAGCTATAGGATTACTTGAGCCCAAAAGTTTGAGGTTGCAGTTTTTTTCTGATGATGCCACTGTACTCTAGCCTGGGCACCAGAGTGAGACCCTGTCTCCAAAGTGGGGGAGGAAAAAAAGCTTGACAGTCTATTTGATACTAATTTGATTTTAATTATGCCCTGGCCCCTCTAAAAGTAGAAGGTTAATGGATTTTAGCTCTTCACAAGGGGCACTGCTTACTGAAATCACATTCCTCTAATTAGAGTTTTTAATAAATTCTTCCCCCAGACTCCATCAGTTTGCTCTAATTCTATGATTACATACTTTCCATTTTTATTTATTATTATAAAGATTATTACCCATTAAAGATGTCATTAGGCTTTCTGAGGGGATTCTATTCTGTCCTATAAAGGATTAGTAAAGAATCTTGCTGCATGCTATTAGAAGGCAAGTCTTTGGGGCTTGAGAATTAAGAAACTTTTTTTGGCAGAGGCCAGGTTTTATACCTGCATTTATTACCCTGGAGGTAAGTGTCCTTTCCTTTTTTTTTTCTTTTAAATGAAATTGAAGTATGAAGAGAGAAACAGTTATATGAAAGTCAAGGGCCTGGTATCTGGTCGGGATTTTTTATCCTTGCATAACTGAAAATACAACTAAAATTTTCTCTTTCCCAGTGACCCTGGATCACCAGAATGGCTAGCAGGAGCTAAATAATTATAGCCTATGAGAGGAGCTTCACTACGCTTTACTACCCCTTCCCTCACCACTACACAAATTCCCAAGGAAGTACATAGAACCATCTGGATACTCATGGTAGATGGTGCACAGTCACTGACCGTCAGAATAGGCTTAACTCTTCCAGCCATCAATCATGGTCCTATCTCTTTTTTTTTTTTTTT